GATGAGACAGTTGTGCTAGGTCATCTATGTTTTTTTTTTGAGAGTGAGAGACAAGTGTTCAAATTTGTCTACTGAAATTGCCAATCTGGCTGCTCCTGTCACAATTTCTGCCAGAACACAGAGTGAGATTATGCATTGGTTTAGAAGGATGGGGAATAAAGTTAGAGTATAGCACAAAGAACTAGAAAAGCGAGAGTACAAGTCCCTGTCCAGTGAGTGGGTAGACAAATGTATGCCTGGTTGCCACAGAGAAAGAACACCCCTGTCTTTGGTCATATACATCTCATAAAATTGGTAGTGAAAAGTGGATGAATTGATTCTTGTAGTGTTGATGATCATCTGAATGCATGAAAAGTATTTGCCAGAGAGACCACTGCTAGTGGTTGCAGCAGGGGGCTGTCAGTTGTGTGGTGGGGAACATGGTGTAAATTTTCTAGAAGCAGGCCATTTACTGGTGAAAAACAGAACACATGGGTCTGAGCATTTGAGGGAGTTTTGACCAAGAGACAGCTTGTGAGGGAGCAAGCGGTTTGGATGTTCAGAATTGGGGCACATATTGATGCTGTGGATTATCCTGAGCAAATTGAGAGATCATTCAGGTTGCATTAACCAAAGGAGCCAGAACTGAGTGTTATAGGGAATGAGCTGTATCCAGAACCCTTTGGGGTTCCTTCACTAGTTTAGAGAAGGAGTGTAGCAATAGTGTGTTGCGAGGTGGGGTTTGGGATAGTGATCCATTACAAGCCGTGTGGGACAATAAGCTAACTTCTTGGGAAGAGGGATAGGGAGAATGTGGATACATAAAGGGGCTTGACCAATCATTATTGCCATTGCAAAAATGCCTTGAACAGATGAAACTACTTGTGATTTTTGTTCTTGCAGCATGCATACTTGTGTCTGTAAGGCCTCAAAGGCTCTTAAATCTTGAGGTTTTATCAGGAAGGTTTTGGTCTACGTAGTAAAAAGAAATCCCTCGGTATCCATCCAGAACTGGTAGGAAGTAGAGAGGGCCTGCCAGCCCTTGAGGGAGGAATATATACAGATCCAACATGAAGAGAGGTTGGAGTCAGATTCAAAGAACAGATGAGAGGAGCTGTTGGTGAGAGGTATGTAGGAGTTTGGAATCAAAGGGTGTTGGACCACAAAGGAAGGGGACAACGCTAGAAGCAGCAGACAACAGAAAAACATCCTACCTAGAAATTGAAAAAGAGTGCTAAGAGAAATTTTTTGCTACAGGTCCAGCTGGTTGGGGTAATTTTTGCCAATCCTATGGCAAAGATTAAGGCCAGTATTACAGCTAAGTATAGTAACAGGAGGTGACAATGCATTACAGTAAGATATATAAACAGAAGGTAAAGAAGGATAGCTGAGTAGGAGTGAAGTCACAGAGATCACCATAGAGCCATTGTCACTCCCTGTCTTCGTGGAAGAACGACACAGGACCCTGCGCTGTTCTTTTGTCTGCTCGGCCCTCCCCGGGTTTGCTGCTGGTTCTTCCCGGGTTGGCTACCGTCCCTTCCACCTCCGTGGAAGGGTGGTTCCCCCTAGCCACTTTCCCCACTTCCGCCGGGGAGCGGCACACCGCCAGCCAGCTCTCTCGGGGGCTGCACAGGTGTTCCTTCAGATAGATGTTCCTCGTGCATGTTGTCTCTCTCCTCCTTTATAGTCCTCTTCCACCAATCCCAACTCTGCTACCCACACGCCGAGTACGCTGCTCTCCTCCAATCAGGAGCAGGTCCTGCTGTTTATTGGTTGAACTGGAGGCAGCTGTGTAGAAGCTGTTTCCTCCTCTCCCAGCGCCATATTGTGGGAGAGCAGATGCATAGAATAAGTCTTAATTCCAGTAACTTAGTCTAGTCCGAGTTGCTCCCAGTTGCTCCCCACAAGCCATAGGTCTGAGACGAGTTTGAAGAGGTGGACTGATGGAGCTGAATACACTGTCTTTCTTGTAGAATTACTTAGAGAATCTGTAGAATTCAGGAATTGCCAGGGGCATGAGGAGGCAGTTCTCTCAGTAGCGCAGGGGAGCTGTGTCAAACTGAAAGTTGTGTGTCCTGTGGGAGTAGAGTTGTACAGGGGAGATTTTATGATTTTAATGAATTGAAATTTTAATGAAGTACCCAGGGAGGGTGTCCTTTGAATCAAACTGTGGTAGAAGTGGTCAATATCACTTCATATGGTCCATTCCATTTTGGCTTTAAAATAGCCTCATTTTGTTTAAGATAGACCCAGTCACTGAGTCGAAAGGTAGGAGTACAGTTAGAAATAGAGGGTATGGTTGAGGCAGGTGTATGTCTGCATATGTCCATAAGTAAGAATGCATTTCATTGAGAAAAGGAAAGGTAAGAGGAGAAGGAATGGCTTCAGAGTCATGGAGGGGAGGGAAGTCTGGTGTAAGAAGATGTCTCCCATAGAGAATTTCAAATGGGCTGAGCATTAACACTTTCCAGGGAAGAGATCTAATTCTTTTTTTTATATATATATATGGCGGCGGGGGGGTGGGGGGTGGGGTGGGGGATCTTCCATCCTCTGGCTCACTCCCTAAATGGCCATAATGGCCAGGCAGGGCCAGGTCAAAGCCAGTAGCCAGGAGTTTCATCCAGATCTCCTATATGGGTACAGGGGTCCCAGGACTTAAGCCATCTGCTGTTTTCTCAGGCATATGAGCAAGGAGCTGGATCAGAAGTGGAGCAGCCAGGATTCAGACCAGCAGCTGCTTATATGGGATGTCAGCATTGTAGGCGGTAGCTTAACCCACTGTACCACAATGCCAACCCCAAGATCTAATTCATTAAAAAAAAAAGATTTATTTATTTGGAAGGCAGAGTTACAGAGAGCTAGAGATAGAGACAGAGAGAGAAAGAGAGAGAGAGAGAGAGATCTTCCGCACACTGGTTAACTCCCCAAATGGCTGCAACAACTGTAGCTGGGCCAATCTGAAGCCAGGAGCCAGGAACTTCTTCCAGGTCTCCCACATGGATGCAGGGGCCCAAGGACTTGAACCATATTTCACTGCTATCCCAGGCACATTAGCAGGGTGTTGGATCAGAAGTAGAGCAGCCAGGACTTGAACTGATGCCCATATGGGATGCCAGCACTGCAGACAGCATTTTTACCCACTATACCATAGCACCAGTCCCAAGATCTAATTTTTAATAGGGCCAAAGGAATGGGTTTTACCCAGTCTAGATGGACCTGGATGGAGAGTTTTGTCAGAGCTTGTTTTAAAATCCCATTCATCCATTCTTTTACTGAAGAGGGGCAATGATAAGTAATGTGGAAATACCATGAGACATGGAGAGAGGTTGACACTAGGTGAGTAATTTGGGAGATAAATTCCAGTCTGTTAATCAATTGAATGGATATGGAGAGTCGAAACCTGGGAATAATGTCTCTTAATAATATAGTAGAAATGGTGATGGCTCTTTTGTTGGTAATGGAAAAAACCTACACACAACCTGGGAAGGTATCCATCATAACCAGAAGATAACATATCCATTTAACTGGTGACATATGGGTGAAGTGAAGCTGCCAGTCCTCTCTTGGGAGTGATCTACGGGCCTGATGAGTAGGGAATGGGGGTGTTCTGATACTGGAGTTAGTGTTAACAGTCTGACAGATGTTACATGTCTGGGATACAGTACGCAGAATTTCCTGTATAGTAGGGGTCAGGTGTATGTGTCATTTTACAAAATGAAGAAGGGAGCTTCAGTTTGAATGATATAGAGAGTTGGGGGGGTGGCTTAAGTGACTTAGAGAGAAGAGGGGAGTATTAGTTTATTATCTAGAAACTAACATGAGTGCTCCTTGGAGGCCCCTTGTTGTTGAACTTGAGAGATCTCTATATCTGAATAGATAGGAGCCATTTTGAAGAAACAATAGGACTGTTTCACCATGGGCAACCATTTTAGCTGTTAGGTTAGCTTGATTGTTAGCTTCCAATAAATACTGTTTGTCTTTCTGATATCCTTTACAATGGATGATGGCAGCTTGTATGGATAGTTGGGCCTCACCTAGAAGGACCTTTATCAGTTTGCCATTTATTATAGTAGTCCCTCAGGTGGTCAGAAAGCCTCTTTCTTGCCGTATCTAGGTATTGAATTGGATGATGTTATAGGCATATTGGGACTCTACATAGAAGTTAATAGTCTTCCCCTTTGGTAAAGTCGTGGCTTGAGTCAAGGTGGTTCAGCCTGTTGAGAGGTTGTGCCATGAGGTAGGAGTTGAGCTTCAACTTTCTGGGGGGGAAAGAGAAGGTATTATCATGATATCCCTTGATTATCACATATCCAGCAGAAAAAGGATGGGAGTTTTTGGAGCACTACTGTCAATAAACCAGTCTGCTATGGCCTGGAATAACAGTGGAAGATGGCCCAAGTTCTTGGGCCCCTGCACCCACTTGGGAGACCCAGAAGAAGCTCCTGGCTCCTGGCTTTGGATCGGCATGGCTCCACCTGTTGCAACCATTTAGGGAGTGAACAAGTGGATGGAAGAACTCTCTCTGTCTCTGCCTCTCTCTGTAACTATGTCTTTCAAATAAAATAAAAATTAAAAAAAAGAAATTTTAAAAGACTGGCAGTATGTTGAAGACAGCTTTCTTGAGAGGGGCTACAGAGTATAAGGTCATCAACATATTGAAGAAGGGCGTTGAGTAAAAGGGTTGATAGAAGCTAAGTTTGCTTGGAGGAGGAGGGCTGTCCAAAGTAATGAAGGCTGTCTCAGAATCCTTGGAATAAAACAGATAAGCTGTTGTGTAAGGTGGGAGGGAATTGGGATCAGATCAGGTAAGGGCAAAGAGTGGTTGGGAGGAGGGGATGAGAAGACTCATGAAGAAAGCATCCTTCAGGTCCAAAACAGGGAAAAAAGAATTCATGGGGGCTATTAGGGAAAGGAGGGTATAGGACTTAAGAATGACTGGATAGAACAGAAGAGATGTATCTGAGGTCCTGTACCAGGTGGAAGGAGCCAACCAATTTTCTGACAGGAAGTCTGAGTGTTGTGAGGTGAGTGGGTAGGAACAAGGATGCGACCTTGAAGGAGGTGGTTTATAATCGTCTTATGCCTCTATGGCCTCTGGAGTTAAAAGATACTGGAGAACAATAATAGCTTTTATGGAATCCTTTAGGGAGATGCAAATAGGAGCATGGTGGATGGCGATTACAGGGTAGGATGTATCCCATACTACAGGGTTGACTGAAGGAGAAATGGAAGGGAGAGAAGGGGCCCGGGGTAGAGTCTAAGTCATCTGCTTTTGGGCTGTGAAGCCATGTAGAGGGCCATAAGGCAGTAGATGGTCCCTCCCACAGTCAGCGCCATGGTGGTCAGGTAAAGCGTTTGGTTAGGCAGGCCTCGTTTCAGGTGGATGGGTACACCATCAGATTTCTGGAAAAACTTCTGCAACTCTGGAACTTTGTTTTTCCCAGCATAATCATATGCGGGAGAGTTGGAGGTCAATTTAGTTGGAGTAGCAAATATGATAGGTGGTGCCTCTGTGGAAACCACAGGCTTTAATCCCTGTGGGAAATAGGCATCTGAAGCCCATGCTCCCGTCAACTTTTGCGTGAAGCCACTAAACTTGTAGTACATGACGCCCGGAGCCTGGTAGAAGCAAGACTTATTAGAGTCAAAGAGTGGCATGGATGGGGGCTCCAAGAAAGGCAAAACCCAAAGAGACCCATGGTACTGGGGTTTTTAATCACAATTTTGGGGAAGAAAAAAACTTGACTTTCAGTTACAAGGTGGGGACAAGACCCATCAAAAGACCTGATTTGCAATCTTTTATCCTGTCTGGCTTGCTCATGATTAAATAAAAAGAGCCATCAGAAGGGTGGGATACCTAATTTGTTTTACAGTAAACTGGGAGCTCAGAAGGAATTGCCGGCCGGCGCTGCGGCTCAGTAGGCTAATCCTCCACCTTGCGGCGCCGGCACACCAGGTTCTAGTCCAGGTCGGGGTGCCGGATTCTTTCCCGGTTGCCCCTCTTCCAGGCCAGCTCTCTGCTGTGGCCCGGGAAGGCAGTGGAGGATGGCCCAGGTGCTTGGACCCTGCACCCCATGGGAGACCAGGAGAAGCACCTGGCTCCTGCCTTCGGATCAGCACGGTACGCCTGCCACAGCACGCCAGCCGTGGCGGCCATTGGAGGGTGAACCAACGGCAAAAGGAAGACCTTTCTCTCTGTCTTTCTCTCTCACTATCCACTCTGCCTGTCAAAAAAAAAAAAAAAAAAAAAGGAAGGAATTGCCACTCCCTTGTGATTCTCATAAGATTGAAAGCTTTCAGGGCTGGCGCTGTGGCTTAGCAGGGAAAGCCGCCACCTGCAGTGCCGGCATGCCATGTGGGCACTAGTTCGAGTCCCAGCTGCTGCGCTTCCGGTCCAGCTCTCCACTATGGCGGTGGAAAGCAGCAAAAGATGGCTCAAGTGCTTTGGCCCCTGCACCCACATGGGAGATCCAGAAGAAGCTCCTGGCTCCTGGCTCCCGGCTTCATATTGGCACAGCTCCAGCTGTTGCAGCCATCTGGGGAGTGAACCAGTGGATGGAATACCTCTCTCTCTCTCTCTGCCTCTCCTCTTTCTGTATAACTTTCACTTTCAAGTAAATAAATAAATCTTTATTAAAAAAAAAAAGAGAGAGAGAGAGATTGAAAGCTTTCAAGGAGTGGGCAGGCAGGCACTTTTGACCTTGCTAAAGATGTTGCACCCTTCATTCCCACTGGGACCACTCTGACTGCCTATTGCCCCATCTGATTCCTCACAATCCACCCCCTCACAAGAATGGACCCTAACTTCTGTTAGGGGAAGTGGTTGATGACTGCTCTGGCTGCTTCACGCTGAAAAGGGGTGTCATTGGGAATGGCAGTCAAGACAGGGCTCCAGCAGGAGGTGTCTTCTTGAGCGGGATGGCAGCGGCAGCTTGCAGAAACTGCTTCCATCTGAGGTTTCAGGCGCATGGTCATCCACAAGTTCACTGTTTCAAGTCTGGAGAAAACGACTCTAACAAGCAATTTAAACTCACAGGGTCTAAAACAAAGGACAGGGTCATTATTAGGAGACCTAAGAAAGGTGCTGTCTAAGCCACAAGCAAGTTTTCCCATTGAGCAGCAAATAGAAACTGACAGGAGGGACCTGATAACAATCAGGTGAGTTAAGGCAAGGCCTGGCCAGATATGAGGTCCAGACCTATCTCTTCACATGGGGTCCTGGAAGAGACATCATAAGGGAGGTGTGAACTTTCTTAGGGAAGGCACCCTGTTGACTTCATCACCTAGCTGGCCTGGGAGGAGAGCTGGCCTGGATAGGAGGTAGGTGGCATCTCTAAAACGAAGTTCTGCAATGTTACTGAACCTACTTGGCCATCCCTCAATAGCAGTGGTTACTTTGGAAGCTGGGCTGAGTGAAGGGCTTTTAAGCTTATAGCCCACAAGGTCTGTGGCTTTGACCTGGGAGTCCTTTGACTCCAGGGCAGTTCCATTTCCAGTGACCAAACTCTTGGCTGGCAGAGCTGCCAGGGCTCTTCCAAAGCTGACTTCTGTATTCACCCTAAGCCCTGGCTTTCCACATAGAAAACCAATACCATTTGTGGTTGATTGGCCTGTCGCATCTCCTTGATGGCAGATCACTGTGTAAAGCAGCCATTAATTAGCCTGCCCCTATCTTTACATTGCAACTACTGCCTACCTTGCTCCTCTTCCCTCCTGGTTTCTGGTAAAGTAGACCAGAGGAAACCTTTGAGAGGATGCAAGTCAAGGGGGTGCTCAGTCCCATTCCTAATCTTTGGTGGCCTAAGCTAGAAGTCTATACTCAGAGGCACATTCTGATAGTGGTTTTTCTGTGAGGCAGACAATGCCCATGAGGAAAGCTATGTTCTCACTTTAAAACTTCCTCTCCCTTCATTTGGTTTGAAAAGGGAGGTTTTGCCTGTTTACTGAGCCCATGGCAAAGTAAACCCAGCTGTGAAATCATAATTTAAGCTCTCATTTGGCTATGCTAGTATTACAGAAAGATTGTTAGCCAGCCCTTTTATAAGGTCTAAAGATAAAATTGTACACCCCAATAGAGAATCCTTCAGAATAGAGTCAGTTTCCCACCTTGAAGAGAAAAGAGAAAGGAGGGAACAAGTAAGCCTTCCCAGATCACCTACCTATTAATATTCATTAATATCAAATGGAAACTTAGCAAGCAATTTTAACTGTTAAATACCAACTTATGAAGACATTTACCAGAAGATCCAATGCCTTCTATAAATTTCAAGACAAGAGTACGACAGTTGTTTTTACATCTCCAATTTATATCTCAATTGGCCCCAGATATCTGGTGCAAACTCTAAAAGCTGAAGAACAATCCATACACGCCCTAAAAAGACCTTATCGATGCAGCTTTTCACATCTTTAATAGGAATGAGGAACTAAAGATTCAAAAAGAGAAAAATACAAAATTAAAGTGTCAGGTTCTTGCCTCTCTAATCCACCAAACCACTAACAAGTCTAACCGCAAGCCAAATCCCAGGCCTCTGGGAGCCTGTTTTCAATGTGTCAATACTGGGTGCTGGGCCAAGGCCTGCCTCAGCCTGAGGTGTCCCACTACACCATGTCCCAGCTGTGGACAGTGGGTATGGTGGAAGATGGACTGGCCCAAGAGGGGACATACCTCCCACCTGGGACAGCCCTCTGCTCTGCATACCCTAGCACAGGACATCTCATCTCAAGTAAACTTCACAGAATGAGGAGGCCCAGGTTTGATAGCCCCCATCACAAACAATTCCACGGACCCAAGGGTGACAGGGACAGTGCCTGGCAAGTGGATCTCTTTCTTGGTGGATACTGGGACTAGCTTACCTGTTTTAAATGACTATTGTGGCCCACTCCTTCCTTCCTCTGCCTCTGCTCTTGGCATGAAAGGCAGCATTGAGACACTGAACAAAACTCCTTTCTATTGATCCTTTGGAGATATTACCCTCCTACAGTCCTTTCTTGTCCTCCCCAATTGTCCCACCCCCATTCTGGGCACGGATCTCCTCCATCAGTTGGGAGCATCTGTCTCCATTCCAACTGGGGACAAAACCCATACATTTGTCTTCCATATCAGCCCACCCTGACCCAGCATGTGAGCACATCTCTGCCTCCAGAAATCCCTAAGGTGTAACCATCTCCAACCCAGCAAGAGGCCACAGTTCAGCCTCTAGAACCACATAATATGGTGGAATCTTCTTCAATCTCAAAAGACTTTCTTCAGGGCTGGCACTGTGGTGCAGCGGGTTAAGGCCCTGGCCTGAAGCGCCAGCATCCCATATGGGCGCCGGTTCTAGTCCTGGCTGCTCCTCTTCTAATCCAGCTCTCTGCTATGGCCTGGGATGGCAGTGGAGGATGGCCCAAGTGCTTGAGTCCCTGCACCCATGTGGGAGACCCAGAAGAAGCTCCTGGCTCCTGGCTTCGGATCGGTGCAGCTCCGGCCATTGTGGCCATGTGGAGAGTGAACCAGCAGATGGGAAGACTTCTCTCTGTCTCTACCTCTCTCTATAACTCTGTCAAATAAACACATCTTTTTTTTTAAAAAAAAAAAAAAAGATTTTGTTCAAGTTCAGATCCCCACAGAGCTCCTGAGAAAGGAAAGCCATCTCTAGTCCAGCAAGAGGTCCCAGATCAAACTCCAGAGCCCACTAAAAAGTTGTACATCAAGCCCCAGTGAGTCAGGAGGTGACAGTTCCAACACTGTATCAGATCAAACTTACTTGCCAGAGTTACCTAGCATCACATTCCAAGCCTTGGGCCTGTGGCCTGCCATAACTCCTTCTCCTGTGCACCCTGAGGGAATACTGCTGTGTCCACTCCAGGCTTAGGTACGTCATCCAAATCTGATTGAAGTCACGGGTCTACCTTTCGACCTAGAACTTCTCATGACTCCACAAGCTGCTGTAGGGGGTGCACTTGCAACAGTGATGAAGGACACAAAAATCCAGCTTCCAGAGCCACCCGAGGAGGTTGACGTTCAACTCCACTGTGTCAGGGGTTGATGGTTCTAAACCCAGGTCAGGATCAATCTCACAACATTATGTATCACATTTCAGCCTCTGGACCTGAAGCTCGCTATCACTCCCAAACCCATTACAGAGGCTGAACATACTGCACACTTGCAGAAGATTCCAGTTCCCACAAAATACTCTGAGATTCTTGTCAAAAGCTTGGTCCCTGTCCCTGGTGCCAAATCAAAATAAAAAGGACAGGGTTTGGGGGTGAAGTCAAGGGAACGTTCTATCAGTAGATGAGAGGGTGGCAGATTTCCAGTTCTAAAGGACTGCTATTGTTGCAGGAAAGTGTTTGGGGTCTTATTAAGAAGCTGAAATGGGGGCTGGCACTGTGGCTTAGTGAGTGAAGCTGCCACCTGCAGTGCCGGCATCCCATGTGGGCACTGGTTCAGTCCCAGCTACTCCACTTTCAATCCAGTTCTCTGCCCTGGCCTGGGAAAACAGTAGAGGATGGCCTGAGTCCTTGGGCTCCTGTGCCCATGTGGGGAGGCCTGGAAGAAGTTTCTGGCTCCTGGCTATTTGGGGAGTGAACCAGAAGATGGAAGACTTCTCTCTGCCTCTGTCTCTGCCTCTCTGTAACT